TTTAGGATTCCGCCTGAGGGCCGGTGTGTCAGTCACTTGTTGGCACAATCGGGCAGTTTTCCCTCCTTCAACACAATAATCCTCCCATGTTTTCCGCTGAAACCAATTCACCAATTCCTTTGAGCCAACTTCTTCATCAAGATCAAATGTCACGTCGCCATACGTCACTAATCAGTTGCATGAATATGTTGTCATTTAGCCTCATGGTAAGGACAGTTTAGATAATTTCCTATTTTCACTTAACATTAGGTTCACGACGGAAATGGATGAGGATAAGTCCTCACCCTTTCTGGATGTTCTCACAATGAGAGAAGAGGGTAGGTTAGGAAGAGATGTTTATAGGAAGCCAACATATTTTGGCTCCGTTAATTATCTTTCCAACCATAGTTGCAAAACTAGGGTGAGAATTTTGAAGTCAATGATTATTAGGAGTATGAGGCTAGCGGATAGCAATCATTTGACGACTGACAAATTTATTCCTGGAAAATTATTATCCTTTATCTCCTTACTGAGGAAAACATTTTGAGATGGAGACCATTTCTTCAAAGATAGACAAGCTGAGACAATTTCCCATATCCTAATTTTGCCATCATATCTTCTGTTATGCCATCTTTTAGAGAGAAATATGACCCCTTCTCGAGACCCGGCTTCTACAAGCTTGTGTGCTCCTGTGGTCGGCCTTATGCTGCTGAGACATGCCGGCCTATTGGACAAAGAGTAAAGAAACACAATAAATTAGTGGTTCCCAAACCTTTCCTAGTCGCGCCCTACCCTAAGTATGCCTATTCGTAAGTAAGAGATACAAATAAACAAAACTCGTGTATCGTCATCGGTTTTTGTACTTTATTGACATTAAATTAATATTTACTAATTAATGCGATGAATGAGCTAGCAAATCACTACACATTTTCTCAAATTGAAGCTTTTTCAATATTTCGTGGTGCACAGTTTAGGAATGACTGCAATAAATGCTTGTTAAATCAGTTGGGTCCAACGGTCAAAAGTGGCCGAACACATTCCAGAGACTGGACATGAGATAAAGTGGTCTCAAGCGAGTAAGTCTGTGGTTAAAAGAAAGATAAGAGAGGCTATTGAAATTAATAGCTTAGGAAATACGTTAAATGTGAGGAACGGTGGTGGAAAGTTGAGTAGGAACTACTCATGCTTGGTTGATAAATTGAGGGAGAGAGGGTGTTGATCCGCCACCTAAAAGATGGCGACTCAGCTTGTCCGCTTGGTGATGGTTCTAACCTCACTCACAATCGCCCAACGGGTTAGAGTAAGCTCATCAACCAGACCAGACATACGAGGTTACGAACTCGCAGTCATACCTTTCCTTGTGTCGTTAAACCTTAATGACTACAGATTGAGAGGTTAGGACATGTGGTTTCGTAACATGACTTACACACTTACGAGCCCACATCTCAACAACTCAACCATACATACTTACGGACTTACACAGACTCGGTCAGGGCTTTCTCTTGGCTCATTAGGCCTTGATGCTAAGAGCCGGACATTCTACTTTTGAGCCTTAATTTAGCACCGGTATCACGTATAGACGCTAACACACAAACACACACGCACGCAAACACACACTCGAGCAAAAGTAGCAGGACCAATATGAAAGATAATTGGCCAAACGACTCTATATCTATCTAAGCTTTTTAATTTTCTTTCGCTTTTTTGAGTCTATATAAAAGGTCTTCTTGACCTAGTGTTGATGTGAGACTTTTACAAGAAAGAGTTGCAGCTCTTATCATGTACATCAAATGATGGAAGAAAGCTCAGCGCGTTTTCACCCGAAACGAGGTTGGAAGTCTCGTGGATTGCGTCAACCTGAACGTCGTATAAAAGCCAAACGGCGGCAGTACAATGGGATTCAACCGTCCTTTTCTGGTGAGATCAACCTTCAAATTTCTTCTTTATGCACTTTCATACGAAACAATAATGTTGTCTCAGGGGATTCATCGGAATCCAGTTTCTCGTTGACTCATTAGCTTGCATTTGGTTGTGACGATGATACCTTGCTCTGACGATGTTCGTCGTATGACGGACGAAAGCTTGGCTCCTTCTCACCGAAATCGAAAGAGGTTACCTCGGAAACAATGTCAACAAGAATGTTCCAGGAAAGCCGATCGGCAGCTGGCCAAGAGGAACCCGCCATCGTCTTCTGGTTGGATCGACCTTCGAATCGCTTACCCGAACACTTTCACTCGAAATGAAAGTAAGCACAAAAATGTAAACTTTATTTTTAGAATTAAGGATTGTTTTCGTGGCTACCAGTAAATCAGTAGTATGAGATGTATTCACCCAATTTCGTTTAAGGTGATTAAGGACTGGTAGTAGAATTTTCCCACAATGATATGAGTTGAGCTGACTTTTCCATTGAATTTCACATGGCCTTGCTTTTCCAAAAGTTGTTCTCTTCCAGACAGAAGTGGACTGCAATTTCGACCTCGCATCGGTCTTATCAACACCCCAGGCAGGAGTCGAACCGTGACAGTGCAGAATGTTGATAAGGCCGATGCGAGGTCGAAACTGCAGTCCACTTCTGTCTGGAAGAGAACAACTTCTGGGAAAGCAAGGCTATGTGAAATTCAATGGAAACGTCAGCTCAACTCATGTCATTTTGGGAAAATTCTTCTTCTACCAGTCCATCATCACCAGCTTCTTGCGAGTCCTATTCCTCCATGACTTCCCAAAGACTCGAACTCTGAGGCTAATCTGGTGGGAAACCGGTGTCGGCTTGCCAGTCTTGTGCGGAAGCGCCGATCCTGAACTCGACGAAGGGTTGGTCGGGAATATGAGGCCAACCGTCAGACGAACACTCCCCCGTGAACC